TATCGCGCTAGTGACAGGACCCAACTAAGCACTCGCAAAAATCGTTGCGCGATTAGCCTTACATCAAGCGCAGGAACAGAACTTTCTGAAACACTGCTTTTTCTTTTTGCGAGCTTTTACATATCACCGCTATTCTTACTTATTTGAAAGTTTTCAGTCTGAAATGACCAGTCGTTTTCTTCTTTGGCCCTCTTCAATCCCATAAAATTACGCGGCAACTCTGGAAATTACTGAGAGTAAACGCACAGTGTTGCTTTACTAGATGCCTACTCTCCAGCTCATGCGATCCTCAAACACAGAGCATGCTGGTGAGCTAGCCGGAAACATCTGAAAGGGGCAAAGTGGGGCATAAATCTCTCAAACAACAACCGAGAAAGGGAGTGCACAGGCATTAGTTTCTTAAAAATTTCAACATTCAAAACTAACTTGCTGCCTCTCATGTTCCCACTCCTCACGATCCATCGTGTTCTGCTCGACGAGATCTTCCACTTCAACCTTGTGCTTCACACTTGTTTCTTGCAGCCTTTCCCTGAAGGGCACTTCGTTAGGAGCATGCTGCACCATGCAGTAACAATGAAATCATACTTGAGTTCCGCAAGCTCCCTATTGAGGCTTTGTTTCTCATCTCCCAACTTCTCGTGCATTTTAGTCAACTGATCTACTCGAACCTCCCAATCTTTCACGAGTTTTTCGCTACGAGTCTGAAAAACGAACTTTGAAAACAATTGAGAAGCACTCAAAACTCGAAACTCACTGGCAAAAACTCACCAATTCGTCTTGCGTCTCTCGAAGTTTTGAAACCCAATCTTCTTCGAGTTGCTTCTCTTTGAGAATTAGGCTTTCCTCATAACGTGACCTTTCTTCTTTTGTCAATTCGTCTTTCTTTTGTATTTCAGACTGCAGCATTTTAACTTGCTCTGCAATTCAGCCAATTCATGGTCAGGTTCTACAGTAATCACTTTGAAAACTTATGAAAGGGGAAAAAACTTTGGAGTTATTGAATGCTAAAGTCAAAAATGTTTCATTCTCCCCTTCAATTTCACTGTCATTTCTTATCACTTCCCGACAACAATAACGCAGCCTAGCATATTGCTCCGTCCTCGAGAGGACACGGATTCCTACTGCAGTGGCAGTATAAGATTTGCGAGCGGCCAAGGTCTAAAAAGTAAATCAACCCTAAAGCAGCCAGCCAAGTGGTGATGATTCTACCCACTTGCTACACATCGAAGGATTTTGTAATCGCCAGTATATTCATCATAACAAGATCTTCGAATGTGATTGAGTTTCTATTTTGCAGTCGTCACCCTTACCCCACTGTAAAACAGCACGCACTGTCAAAGCCAGAGCCTTTGCAGCATCGTTTTTCGGACCTTCCAAGTTTTCCAATACCCATCAATTGTTGCAAGCTAGCTTGTTTTCAGGAGTGAAGGTACCTTTCAGGTCATCGATTTGCACGTCCTTCTGCCTTCCTTCGTTTGTGAGGCGATCGAAATTAACACGGAAATCTTCCATAATTGAAAGCTTCTCATCGTCCTTCAAATAGCAGATGTTCGTAAATTGAGGCCAAAACTCAGGGCAACGAAAAAGCTTAAAACTGACCTCTGCACGTCTCCTCTCTGCGTCACCTTCTGCCTGTACAATACGACCGTTCAATGTGGCAATCTCATTTCTCAGAGAAGCAATATCGTCCTGCAGTGCATCACGTTCTCTGAAATCACTAGGATAATGTAGAAAATGTGTTTGAAGCCCTTCCCTGGCTTTTCTCCAAGAAAACGTCTGCTTCGTCGCTGTTATAACTGGAATGTAAGTTGGCTCACAGAAGGCCTGAGACAGTACCTAACTCAATACTGATTATTTTCGAGTATTGCCCACAAGTTAAATTCATGAGTGAGACCTCATATGCCTTCACTAGGGTTTTGATGATATTATCCTAATAGCTTTAGCACTGACATCCAAGGCCATCCTCCGCACTGCTCCTCTGATCTCGTCAATGCTATTGAAACTTTCCAAGCTTTCCTCTACTTCATCTTTACTACACATAGGAATAAGTGTGCTAAGCAGCTTTTCGGCGTCTGGCATAAGATCACACTCTTAGAGTGCTACCAGCGCTACCGTGATTCCGATTGGATAGCGCCTAGCGACAGTAGGTCCTTAGGAGGACAGTAGTAATTTCGGAGACGATGTCGTCTACAGTAGAAAGGAACAAAGAGAAAAATTCATTAATCTACTACAATTCCATCTGTCTTAAAAAACACGCACAGGAGATCAGTTCTACCATTGAGAGGAATCAGCAATGAATTGAAGTTATTTCAAGACAAATCAAACCGGAATTGCCGAACCGCTAACAATATCTACGTAAGCACTTCTAGTGACTTCTATGAAAGCGTTAATAGCAAAAAAAAAATGCAACTCCGAATACAAATGTACACTAACCAATTATCATAAGCTACATCGTAAATATCCGCACCTCTTCACTTCTTCCACTTGTTTGAGCATTTCAGCGCATTCATCAGTCTTCTCTTTCGTCAAATTCTGATGATGCTCTAACTGTTCGCGTACAATCCTTGTTTCTTCAGCGTCCTGAAGAATTAGGACCTCAGTAATGATGAGAGGACGAAGTTCGGACAGCACGAATACAGGTTTTGGAATCTTGTCTTATACCGAAGTCTTATCCATAATTCGCCTACCTAGTAAGACTTTTGGATCGCGTACCGGGCTAAATAACAGCAGTTAACGAACATTAGTTCCCAGTGAGTTTGACATGGTCTCGAATTTAGTAACCATGACGGTTCGACAGTTCTTCAACAAAAACCTAATGGGAAGAAGCCCTTTCCCATCAAACTGGAGTTACCTGAACCACCCAAAATACTCTCCGATTTCCCAACCCCAATTTTTCCTTCGAAGCACTAGCTCTCAAAAGAACATATGTTGGTGAGCTCAGTTGTCCTCCTAGGTCCTCGTAAGGAAATGGGGGAGGGGTGTCGGAAGCAGGACTATTGCCAACTCTTCCTAATGCACTTTGAAATTGAATGGCCGCTAAAGAAGAAAGGAACGACGCACCGATTCCAGCTTTTCTTGTAGCATCCTCACAGAATTCTTCAACTTTTGAATATTCTGCTCATGAGTGACGTTCAACTGTTTTGTCTCCTCCAGACGCTTTTTCAGCTCTGAAACAAAAAGTGAGTTCCAAAAGCCATTTACGGACGGCGGTTTGAGCAAACTAGCGAGGTTTTCACCTTCTTCGGATTGGTCAGCAGACTCGACTTTTTCATTGAGTTGGTCGATTTCGGTGTGGAACTGCAAGATTTGCTCTTGGAGCGATTTGTTCTCATCAGATAGCGTCGCATTCGAGGTACGCTGTTCATCAAGTTCCAGTTCCAGTTGCTGTTTTTTAGCCATCAATTCATCACATCGTAAAGAATGTTCAGCAATTTCATTGTCTTTGCCATCTAACTTTGACAACTCCATGTCAAGCTGATCTTTCAAACTTGACAGCTTCTCTTCCAGGCTGGTGATAGTAGACTCTAAAACAGCTAAGTTGAGTGAGACTTCCCTTCGGCTTGAAATCTTAGCCAACCTCTTTCTTCTGACGTCTTCAGGGATGCCGCATGTTCCGCTCTGAGATCTCTTAGCTGCTGACGAAGGGCGTCCGCTTCCGTACGTCCCCGATCCACCTCTGCTTGCATACGATTAAGACGCGAACGCTCCTGGAATTTCGATCGTTAGTGAGTGCCACAGAAAGAGAGAGTGCTCTATGAAATTATTCTTAGCCGTTTGCCATTCATGGATAATTTTTTGAAAAAAATGAAAATTTTTCGGTATCAGAAACAAATGGGCTTGGGCGACTATGAACCTCATTGATCCTCTCTTCCAAGTCGTTCTCGTGCTTCGTGTCTCTGGCTGCCAACTCATCACGATGATTCGACATCAAGTTTTCGATGAATTCCTTATGAGTTCTGGAAACCGAGAATATTTCTGACACATCCTTGACTATATCATAACTACTCTACCTGTGTGTAGTTGCTAGAGTATTTTGCATTGTACTCAGCAGGGTCTCCTTCATGGTTTTCTCCTCTTCAGCGGCTTGTAGACGATCTGTGAGGCGGCGAATATCGTGGCCCATTTGCAATAACTTCTGCTCTCTTAAATGTTATGATTTGGAGGATTTCTTCATAAGTCCACTAGAATCGTCTTGGTACACCTCTCCGCTGCTTCTTCTTCCCGTCTTTTCCCAGTGTCTCTCAGAGATTTCTTCTCCTTCTCATGAAGCTCAATCTGTTTCTTCAGTCGATTGACCTCTACCTCAGCTTGCTCTACCCTAGAAACAAAACACTTGAAACGAGCTTTCCACGCCTTCAGAAAAAGGCTCACCGTGAATTTGCCTCTCGAACTTCTGCGGACTTCGTTGAAAAGGCTGAACGAATCCTGCGAACTGTGTCATTGACCGAATGCAAGTAAGCTGGAAAGTGAACTCGTCCAAAAACTGCTCTTGTGGATAAAACTACGATTTTGTGAGGAAATGGTCAACTTTCTGGTGGTTTGTATATGATGAGGTACTTTCACATGCAAAAAACAGAAACTAGATGGAATGTTCAGTCTAGGGTGTTGTTTTACTAAGCAACTGTCTGAGCGTAGGTCTTTTCTGGGATGATTCCGCTTGGTCAACTCATCATACCACCTCTGGTAAGTCACACTGATGGAAAAATCATCTGAACTCACATGGACTTTCACTGCGCGTCCGAGGTCGTTGCGGTATTGAGCTAATTTCAGTCATGCTGCTGATCCGGGCGAAGGCGCTTTCCATTTCCTCATTCCTATCCTTCGTTCGATTCAATTCATCCTGAAGTCGCTGCACCAGACGCACCTTCTCCGACAACTGCTTGTCTGTCTAAATTGAAAATAAGATTTTTCAAAAAGAAAAAGCTGGGAGAAATACGAGCAAGTCTTTGCTATGAAGCAGTTCATAACGATCAAGCACGGAATGATATTAGGAATGTTCGCCCTCAAAGCGTGAATTTGCAACGTAAAGGATTTATCCTTGCAAAGGTACTACACACGGTTGGAAGTACGCATGTATCGAACCCATTGTTCCCTAAGACAGCACAACAACCCTTACTTTAAAGTGATCTCTATCTGTCTGTTTGACGGTCTGGCGTCAAATTCGTTACAACCCTATGAAACAGATGGAAAGCCGGGTCAAGTCTTTATGGATGAGGCATAGCATGGCAGGCAAATGAACAGGAAGCATTTAAGCTCGCGTATTTTTGCTTGAAAGGGGGAGAACACCCAGTGAAGTAAAAGGTGTCAAGAGCGAAACTTCCCAATTCGCCTCAGCCTAGATTGGGGTAAAAATGGGCAAAAGTTAGTTAGCAATTAAAAAGTGAAAGCAAAGCCTTCACTTTCTGAGATGCCCATTATAATGCCTGCAGATCTCCCTAATACTCACGCTGACATAGGCTACACCAAAGTAGAGTTACGGTTATACATAGTTACAGTAATGGAATGGTATAATGCGATCATCAGTAAACGAGACACCATTCGATGAGAACTGATTCGTTATGTAATACTGCGCAGTGGGAACTCACCTCGATTTGCGTACTTGACAGGGCTTCATATTTCATCATTACTTCTTCAAGCACCTCGTCTTTCTCCTTTGCCATTTTTGTTCGCAATTCGTTGTTCTACAAATAGAGCGCAAATGATGGCAACAATCTGAAGGAAGATCCTGGTCCAAACCTTGAACTCGGCATGCCGGATCGCTTTCTTCATCACAGCCGCACATCTGGTGAACTCGGTCAATTGCTTGTCCAAATCGCTAGCGGTTGAAGTATGCAGTTCCCGAACCTGCAAAGAATTTTCGTATACAATATATGGCGAGCCGCGCGATAAGCATCCCTTTTTTGTATTCTTCATTATTTTCATTTCGGCATTTTCATTCGAACAAGAAGTCACAGAAAGACCCTCTAACTTAAAATATCAAAAAGCCGCCTTCAAGCGGCAACTCATAACGTGTATTTCACATTGACGAACCGAAAAACTCGAGAAAAAGTGAAAAAAGGGGTGAGCCGGCTGATACACCGCGACCAGCAGCAGAAAATGCGCCACAGCACACCGTGGTATTTTTGAGGAAATTGGATAGTGCAAGCATTTTAAAAAATTGGAAATTGGTGTATTCAGAAAAATATAGGGCTCCATAAAAGTAGCAAAATGAAGGGTTGGGCGATGGTTCATCCTCTACAGCCTCTAAAACGCCATGAGAACTCCTCCGCTTTGGGTCTGTAGTACGTCGGATAACTCAGTTTTTGGTTATTTCATCGTGAACGGTACCTTCAAGCAAGGGGATTAACAGGAATATATGGTGGTTTTTAATCAAACAAGGATCAATTTTGATTTTGTTCTACAATAAAAGCTCGTGCTGCCACAGAAGCAATTAACAACCCAAGTCTTAACGACGAGAAGAGAAAGCGAACCCCAAGTGATTGGAAGGGAAAATCAATCAGTCAATTGCGAAATTGGATTATACCCACCTTCCTTTTTATGGCGGTGAATGCCTTCCACAGCTCGATCAACTGACGATGTTGTTGTTCTGCTTGGTTGCGGTACCTCTGAAACTATTGATGTTGAATGAATTGAATAAAAAATAGAAAGGAGGATTCATAAATTAGAAATTAAGTAGGAAGTATTTTTTATTCTGCACAAAGCAAACCTCAGCAATAACATTACCAGTAAGTCCGCACGTAAAAGGAAGAAAACCAATGAACGCATCAAAGTAGTAAAGGGAAAAAAGCATGTTGGCATCAGAAATCTCGCGGGCAATGTTCCCACACATTTTACAAAACCAAAATTTGTGAAGAAAGGGAGGCTAAATGAGTCGAAGAGATGAATGCGAATTAAAGACCTCAATTAGCAAAGTGTACAGCAAAAGTGATAGAAAAAAGGTTCTGATAAAACCTGACTAGAGATGGAGAAAGAGGGGCTTCGCTATGAACAGAGAACTGACTACAATTTGACCAGAATAGTAACTATTGCCCTTATTTATAGGCACAATATTGATACAACAATCGTTTTCCCTTAGCAACGAACGATTTCTCACATTCTTGCCAGGATTCAAGTTTGAGCTCACAGCGAATAAAGGGAAAGTGATGAAAAAAATTATATAAACGATGATGAATGAAGTGAGCCGAGCGGCCACATAAGTAAGGTGACGCTTAAAGAAAGACAGGCATTGCACCGGAAATTGGAATGTAATGGAGAGAAATGACAGTTTAGGTTAGCCGTAAAAAATACAAATAGAGAGAAATCGAGTAGAAATGACTGCCAGGAAAGCTAGGTTACCCTTAAATGAATGGCCGAAAGTGAAATTCAAAGTCGCACAGAGATGTCAAGGCAGAAAAGGTTGAAAACCGGCGGCAAGGTAAGGACTGAATACAGGTGTGCTACCGGAGCGCTACCTCCCAAGGCAGGTTAAAAATCAGACAGTCAACTGTGAGTATGATGGAATGCGATATTATTTCTCGTAAATGAACCAAGAAACTGGGCCCATCTATTCCATCTATGAACCTTAGAGCAACGCCCCTCCTGTAGACACTAAGATTGGCTGCAACACTTGGTTTGAATAGATGGGTCAATATTCCCATTTTCGGCTGGAGTAAGATTAGTAATATTCTCAACTTTTCATTAGAAGAGAGCTGTGAGTATTTGATATAGCCACTCCGTACAAGTTATGAATTCATTAGTATATTAAAACGCTCAGAACATCCGTAACGCTGATGGTGTTCATGAGAGGGCGGCCATAATTGCCGTCGCTAGGCTATTACCATTACCCCCAGCTGCTTTATATGTGGTAGTATCGGAAATTCTATGCGTTCCGTGAGTCAGATCTAGAATGCATCCACTATATGGAAGGAAGACGACCATTACTGGTTAGTAGTTGATGAGTGGAAAATCCACTTCCGTTAGGCTTCTTTACGTTTAATAGAATCCCAAGACTTCATTTATCCCAAGTGATACTAATAATAAGGTTCCTAAGGTATATTCAAAATGCTGCAGCCCATTTGATTTCAAGCCTCTTTTCATTATCACCAAATGACATAAAGGATGACTACAAGCGCAGTGAGTCGACTACGTCGCGTCACCGAGCAGAGAGCAGAGCACCTGTTGTTAGAGAAAGCGTACTGGTAATGAGTTTGTCGTCGTAAGTAAAGTTTATGGCTGACGAATCATTCCCAATGAATGAGAAAAACAATTAGCATGACAAGGATAACTTCAGAGAAATAGTAAGGCCTGAGACTGATAGGACAGAACGTTTCCCATTCAACAACAACGGTTCGGAATGTGAGATCGCCTACGATTAACGCGAAATGCTTCGAGCTTAGCATATTTCCGTGACTCGTGGCAATAATTCATCTGCATATTTACAGCTTGAATTCGCTTTGCCGTCCTCCAATGTAGGATGTGTCTGCTACCGATGGATGTGATGGAAAACCAGGACTGAGTGCTGGGGAAGGCACAGGGTCAGGATTAAGATAGAGTCAAGCAGGAAGTGGAAGTGTTAATAGGTTTGAAACCGTATGTCGTAGTAATCATAATATCTAGCCAATAATTGACGCATGCTACGTAGCTATAACTTCATAGGAAGAAGAGAGAATCGATAACTACACAGATAATAGAGAGTACTACTATGGTGTGAATGATTTTCGGCTCCAAGTATGAATAGGTTAGCTCCTAAGACCCGGACCAACCAATCACATCGAAATTGAGATAATCTTTTTCTCTAGAACTCTAAGTAATCATCAGCCTGTACGCCTTAGACTAGAGACTCATGACTACGAAGCAGTTAACACGGCCTACGTTATGCGGTAAAATACACAATCTGTTCAACAACGACGAATAAATGGACTGTGACGGAGGACTTATTGCAGCTATTTTATCGCAGCCTGCTCGTTCAGAGCTGTTCGGCCAACGTTATTCACGATCATCCATTCAGGCTTAAGTATCTCACAAGTAGTCAAACACTCGGTTGCCATTCGTTATCCACCTTTTTTTACAAGGCTTCCATGGTACTAAAGGGGTTTTCTTTTTGAACAGTCTTATCAAAACTTTGGGCTTTTCCAAATGCTGGTATCGATGGAAAATATAGGCCCAAATGGTACGTCATCAGCGCAACTCTGCCATCTGAAATTAGAGCATTGTTGGTAATGTGCAAAAAAAATTTGGCGGAGGTAGGAGACCTAGGGAACGGACAGCCCTGATCAATCTCAAGATAGATGTGAAGCCGAAACGGGATTTTGCTTTCAATAACTAAGAGATTTCCCGTAGGCGGAAACATGAGGTGCTATCCGTACCTGGGCAAATTGTATCTACTGATCCAATAGAAAAGTTCGTACATTGCAAGGAGGTTCCGAAGCATCAGTAGTGATCTCACGCCGATGGAGAGCGGCTGAGCGGCACACTCGATTGAACCCCAACTTGAAACCTTGGTTATTTCCTGTCAGTACTGTCTGTCACTTGATCTAGACCACGATCCCCTGGCATCACTTTCGCCAAACGAAACACCGCTGTGTACCTCCTCCTGTTTTAAAATGAATGCAAAAAGAGTAGTATGGCGGAACGCGGCCTCGAGTCATCATGCTTGAAGAAGTCAAAAAAGAGTGGAAGACCCCATCAAAGTCAGGGGTAGTGGGGTACTGCAGTCAGAAAATGTTCTGAATATACCTCACCGCGTTTTCAACTCGAAACCGCTCCCGATCATTGCGTTGACCTTGCTCAAGACTCTCGAGAGCTCGTGTGAGTTCCATTACATCATGTCTGAGGTTGTCGTTCACCGCCAGCGCAGCATCGTTCTCCTCTCTTAGCATCTCATTGATCTCTTCGAGTGTGTTGTTTCTAAATAATTACATAAATTTTTTTTCACAACCTGACTGGATTTTGTCACACAATTGAGGTACTCCAAGGCCACCCCTGTGAATCATCGAAATAGTGGAAAGTACCAAGCTACAAAGGCAATTTGTAAAATCGTTTCGGGGATGGCAATGAAAGCATAAATTGCCTCCGATTCGGCTTAGTGTCTGGAATATTCTAATCATTTATACGAGCATTCTAATTATGAAATAAAACGGAATACGGTATCGAAACTACGATATCCCTGACTAACGCTAAACTACATAGAAACCATAAGAGAAAACTGAAGAGATTGCTTTGTTCTTGACTGGATTTGAAAAAGGTATCAAAAAGTCAGTATTTGAAGCTACTAAACTGCTTCTTCGTCCTCATACACACCAGAACCTCCTCGTTCGTTTAGCGTTATACTCAATGTTAAGAGAACAGATAATGTCATAAATGGGGTAGTTGTATCAGTAAATCCTTTTGGAAAACGCTTGATAAATTATTTACATTCATAACGTGAGCCAGTGGGTCAGCATGTGCACCGAATAAATTCGTCACGTCACGCACGGCACTCACAAGACGAATATCAGACGAGTAGCGAATTCTATCGTGCAAATTTGAGGTGAACGAACTTATAGTTCAACACTACCTACGGTCTCCTCACAGCGACTGCAAATTCCATCAACCATACATCGCCTACACCAATCGAGTTATGAAATGAACCCATCGAACCCACTACAATGGCCCACTGACGTCAATTGACCTCGAGCTTTCAAAATTGCGCTTACACCTCATACAAGCTCAAAAGATCTTTTAGGGAATGGGGCAAACCTTAAAGGTAGACAAAGGGGTAAGAGTAGCCTCAACTGAACTGAAAGTATTTGACTGAAATAGATTATTAACCCGAAAGTAAGAATTTTTTCCCCGGGGAGAACTGCACTGGACGCAGACTATCCCTTCCCGCTTGTTACTTTCTGTAAAAAAAAAAAAGTAGCTATAAGACATCAGGATGGGAAGTCGTATTGCTACCAGGTAAAAGCGAAGGTACAAGTGCTGGAGAGGACCTACTTGAAGAGTTCGTTCCTCAGCCGTGCAAAGAGTTCATCAATGCTCTGTTGATTATCCAGATTTAAATGCTCATCAGAATAGTGTAACAAACGTGGTGACGATTTGAATCGGGGTGAATAGCCGCGACGAAGTTCGATTGATGTGGATCTGAAGCACAGCATCTCAAAATATGAAATTGTGTCGCAATAAAAATAAAAAATAAGAAATTCAAGCGCACGGCTTGCTCAATCGAATTCGCTACAGAGACCGACATCATTTCAATGATAGAACTTTTGCTTATAATTGTGTATGGAGGCACCGAAACCGATTACGCTCCACCCAGCTACCTAGCAGTCCGTGAACTAAGGCGGGATTCGCTCGGGTCTAAACTCTCATCAGAATAAGGTTTGAGTAGTTAAGAAAACTATCTACTGACCGAGTAATGGTGTGAGTTCAATATACAGCTGGCGTCTTTACTGGTGTTCTTCCATTTTATGATGAATACGATGACAAAGCTTCGCCAACCCGTGGCAACTTCAAGATAAGGCACCAATAATTCTCTGAATCCTGAGCAAGCACGGTGCATCGTGGTTGAACGAAATTATGTACTGTTTGTCGCATGGCTCGATTCCTCTAGAAGATCGCGGCGTAGTTAAGATACATAGATGGTGAAGATTGAGAGATGATCCGTATTGAGTCTGCTTCTCCATGAAGTGGAAAAGTTTTGGGAAATATCCGAGTATTCTGGGAAAAGTCTTGAAGGAACCGGTGGAATCCAGAACCAGCGATCCTTCTACGGATTGCTGCTTTTTTAGAGAATTACGATCGAGGGCAACCCACGGTAGAAATGGTTTCTGAAATTTCCAACTACGACGAACACGAAGCTCTCACATATGCCACATGGGGCTCTCGGGTCGAAAACGGTCCAACATGGTGCAATGAAGGCCGAATTCAGTGCAAAAGTCTTTTCTCCCGGAAAGGAAATTACAACAAAATTTCTACTTATAATCGATTAACTATGCAAAAATGACTTTAAAAGTTTACATCTTTTAGAAAATACATAACAGGAGCGCTTTGCGAGTAGAACTACAACTCCTGCTACCATCCACGGCAGATTTGGTCCCACCTCAATTGATGGTTTCTTATTACCCTTCTCTGGAGATATTTAAAAAAAATGACCTGTCGCTTCAATGTATTTATTACTTAGGACGTGCGCAAGGACGATGGCGTTTCAAGTGCCTATTACTTGTAAATGCTGCGACCAATAAAGGCCGATGTCTGCACAACCTTACAAAAGGTCTCGAGTTCTGTCTACTGGGTAAATATCAAGGATAAACATTTCAACTACCGCTCGAAGAGTTTCACACATTTTCATTCGGTCACTTAATTTCAAGAAACTATTTAAATAGTTTCTTCGTTGTGTATGATTTTCGATGTAAATTAGCGAAAAGATTCTCAGAATTCCTTTTAGCTACGGGATGAGATGGACATCTTCGCCCTCCCCTCTCCCCTCACCCCTCCCCCCAACTAACGGCACGAAAGAACATATGAGAACCCCTTTCCAACGTTAACAGATTTCTTTTGGAAAGCAAACCCGAAAATAGAAGGGCCATCTAATGCACAATTTTTATGGCAAGAACAAAGGCCATTTCCAAAAAAGTTTCATGAGAAAAATTGATATTTGATATGTACATTCATCGATGGTAGTAAATAACAAAGGTGTTTTGCGCTTTTTCCTTGACTTCCTCACAATTAGAGTAGCAAATACTATTAACAAAGGGGTTTATAGAACTTCAACTATTGGGTGATGGGTTCACTCCACTTTCTTCATCTCTACTACTTGAATTGCGTGTTGCTGACATTTCAAATTCATTTGATCATGAAATTTTTGCTGTATGCTGTCACCTCCTACATGCAGCCTGGATTCGACCACAAATAGGTGGAAAGTATTGGAAAAGCGGTTAGTTGATTACGCCTTGCAGTTGTCACTTGTCGGTTGTATCGCCGTTCGATACCGCTACTTCTGTTGAGCGGAACACATCTCAAACATGACGGAAACGTGAGCGCATCTGCCTATTCGGATTACCCATAGTCACAGTAACTTTTAAATCTGTATATGCGCAAAGGAGTAATGAAACGTTCCAACTGCATAAGTCACCTCCACTTCCAATCAGAGACGCAGGACAAAAATGGAATGTGGCAGCCTCATTTCATTCTTAACTACCGTGAGCGAATTCCACAGCCGGAGCAGGCTTCCCACACTATATGTACGTTCACATAATTTCCTAGGCAATACAATTTCTGCTCAATGTTACTTTTTTGATTTTATTGGGAAGCTTCTTATGGTTCGCTAGATGGCTAGGAAGAGTCATTGGCAGTTATTGGCTTATAGCGTGACCAAGCTGATGCTTTCTGTTACAAAAACACATTATCATTCTGCTTTTCGACATAAGAAGGCGAATATTCTATAACAACCACCTTATGTTGTGCAAAAAGCAATTGAAAAATTTCTCCAGAATTGGCTTTGCAGTCTTTTTTGTTGGTTTCTACGCACTCTACCTCTACTACCCCAAAAGAATGCAGGTTGAAAGGGTAACTACCCAGCACGTCCCTTTTCGGACCTCATTCCCAGCATATGCAAAACTGCAGCGCTTGCGAGCTTTTTGCTGGTAACTCTACACGGCTTCTTTTTCATACGCATCTATTTACATTGAAAATGGAGGTCGATAAGCTGCTTCCAATCATAAAAAGGGCCGTACGCCATAAGCCTCTCCGGAGTTCTTTTTTTTCAAAAGATGTTTTAAACAAAGGAGAAGGTCATCCGAAATAAACAGCTTCAGATCAAAAAATACTTGTTTTTCTGGTTTTTATTGGCTAAGACTGGGGGAAGCCAAACAAGACACTGTGTTAGCACACTGCCTCTGTTTGCTCTCTCATGTTTCATTCCTCTTAAGACCATTTTTGTCCTCCAAGGCGTATCGCATTGCACAGCTTTTGACACTGAAGCTTATGACATTTTCTGATAACCATTCAACAATGCTGCTTTGGAATCTACATATAGCTTTGCCGCTGTCAGCTCTTTTACTGCAAGTAACCACTATTAAGAAGCTTCCCAATAAAATCAGAAAAAGAGACATTGAGCAGAACTTGCATTGCCTATGTGAACGTCTAATGTGGGTAGTCCATTCCAACTGTGGAATTCGCGCACGGTCGTTTAGAATGAGAGGACGCTGCCACACTCCGTTTTTGCTTTAACCTTATAGATTGTGACGCCTATTAGCCGAAAATTCATGTGCCCAATGCTCCCACCTTTTCCCCCCATTCTAGTTTAACTTCCTCTGCTACTCTTCTGGAACCTTGTGCAGATGTAGTCGTTAATAGCACTGGGTTGATCAGCCTACACGCAGCTCAGAACATGGCGAGCTTTGATGAAGGAAAGGAAACTGTAAATTATACTGGGTAAGCTCAACTGTGAAAGAATTTTGTGACATTGATAAGGCTCATGATGACGATTTTCATTTGATGTACCTTCGACGAAGCCACTGATATGAATTCGGGAATGAAAGATGAGTGATAATTATGACGAAGAAACGATTGAAGAGATGACTAAGCAACTCATCACTTAAGAAGGAAGTGCAAAACCTACATTTAAAAGACCATTCAAGTCAAAAAAGGCGAGAATATGAGAATAAGGAATAACACGAACGCCCCGAGGCCTCAAAACCTTGGGTCGACTGATCAGGCTTGTGCTGAGAATCGACGACAGTAAATGATGCATTGGCTCAATTGCATAGGAAGGATACCACTCTTTGTAAGGAAAGCGTAAAGGTGGTGGCTATAAGATGACTATTAAATACAAGGAAGTTTGGAGTATATGCGCTCAATTGTTACTTCCACTACCTTCATCCCTTTTCCTCCCCATGCCCACGCTTTTAGAAATTTTTAGAGATTGAATATGAGGTGCAGGGCCGCATTGAACTAAGGGAATCTTTTCCCGTGATGCACTTCGGCACAACGCTTAATCTGTACCGGTCAAGTAAAGCAAGGAGTAAATCACATTGAAAATCGAAACCCACTGCGCTGCAGAGCTGGCTGGTAGATCGAGACGAGTGAGGCTCTTGTTTCGAGAGTAACGGCTCCTAGAATGGTACAGGGGCGACGGCGGTTGGTAGTAGTCGATATATGGAGACGAAGCTGCCATATCGATACTGAGTTGAGGAAGCGATGTAGCGAGTAAGGACGGTGTGGATGTCAGTCGAGCCGAGTCATGGGCACTACGCTCGCGAAACTTCTGGATCTAAAAATAGTGACTGAAATTTTTTACAAAAGAAAAATCAGCGGGAATTTGCTGATAACCTTGAGCCAAAGTCTATCGATTACAAAAAAAGCTGTTAAAGAAAGAAGAGCAATGAAATTGACGAGCGATTAGCAATAATTTAATTCAGCTATGGGAACTTCAGGGCGAAGGTGGTCTAGTGGCAACTGGCGCACTATCACACATGCAAGGTCTTCGAATCACAGGTTGATACCAATATCCACCTCGATCAACTAGGCTTTCCATCCCTCCGGGGTAGGGTAAAAGAAACCAAACTCGTCTGGCAGGATAAAAGTACTGATTAGTACATCGGCTGGCCACCGCAAGCCACTGTATAGGCCAAGTACGCATTCTGTACGCCACACTACAATCATGAATTTAAGTGGGATGCGACGGTACATAACTCGGACGGGATTGAATAGCGCTAAAAGACTTTATCCCTTTTCATCCTATATGAGAACTTTAGCACCGCACTATAAATCGCTTTTAGCATAATGATGATTCCAGCGAAGCTTTTTTCTCAAGCCGGATACAGGAAAATACGCATTAAACTGTAATAGAGGTCCTTAGCGTTAATCTATCCCGTTGTTGAGGTGCGCCTCCGCATTCTTCATCCATTCAAAATCGTAATGGCTTTTGAATGCGAATGGCTTATTCAATGATTCGCGATGCTTTTATCCTCCCAGACAAGTCTGATAACAATTAGCCGACCACGGAGAGATGAAAACCCTGCGCGACTTGTGCAGATATCAAGCCGGGATCCGAAACTCTGACCGTGTCCCATGACTGCGTATGGTTGGGACACCTTTGTGTACCCTTGGCGATGAAGTGCTGAGGGCATGCAGCATTTTGCGAGTAAGCTCCTAACGCCCCTCCCACGCTGGCTTCCTTCTGCAAAGTTGACACAATCTTTGCCGTTTCGCAGCGCTTTAACTATGTCGGAGCGATCATTACATCTAGTTTTCGTGCCTTTTGTAAACGACTACCGAAGAGAACAAGCAGACGAAGCCTCTTCATCGGTAACCAAATGCCCTAGAAATGGCCTAGAAGACAGGAACAAAAAAAAATTTGACCACAAAAAGCACAAGACGACGTTCATTTTCCCTACAAATCTTCTTCATCTTCTCTAAGCACTCCTACATTTCCTAACCCTATGATAAACGTAGCAGTAGTCATACGAGCAAAAAGAGGACATGTATCTGCTAACCTGGTTAGTGAGTCCTTGAATGAGGTCTCTATTTCTCTTGTTTTCCTGGACGCCTGCATCGAGCCGTGTTCGGCAATGAGATAACTCTTCGGTGACTTTCGCTACATCTAAACGAAAAATACTGTAAATCATGCTACTGGTAAAGCAGAACTCAGAGCCCTTTCAGGTCATGTTACATTGTTGGAGATATAGAATCACAAGAAAGGATTCTCTCGCATACACAGATTTCACTCAGACTGTATCGATTCACTTAGAGCTAACGACCAACATGTACTGTGGATGCAGCAGTGTGAAAGCAGAAGATCAGCGACCCTATGAAGAGCGCTAGGAAGGCGGACCACAAAATTCATAAGCCCTAATGAATTAGTTGTTTCGCGACATCAATACTGCAACATTTTCCCTGGGAAACATATAAATTTCAATCTGGGAGCCCTGTTTTCCCCAATCATACACGCCTTTTCTTGATCGTTTTATGGCAGAAATTGCCATGGATTATATGGCATTTTCGCCCGATCGCGCCTGAGCTAGGAGATATTCTTGAGCTGGGGAACATTTTTCGGATGGTCAGTAAACACTTGTCTTGGGTAAAACAAAAGAAAATAACAAAACAGGACGCACATAATGGGAAGTATAGTACAGTAAAAAGCATTACCAATGGGCGTTACAGTCTCAAAACGCATTTCCGCATAAAAAAAGAACAGAGACTCTAGTTCTTGAAGTTGGTAAGTACAGGGACAGCCAAGACTAAATAAAGGAAGTGAGCTAAAGCAAATGTAGTATACGCTGCAGCCTTTTATCGAAGGCTCTAATAAAAATAGAGTAGAAACCTATACATTTGATGCTGTTTGATTTGGAAAACTGTTCCTGTAGTTTGGATTACAAATTGAGAGGTACGTACTACTGCTAACTTTTTCTTTCCAGATGATCAGCCGATCTAGGTGACTAAGTTTGAAGATTACCGTTGATGATAAAGTTTTCGAAGTTCGAAAATACAGAATATCTTTACAATTTAGAGCTTCCGATGCTATCGGATACAATGCCGTGAAATGTACTTCTATTTACATAAAAATGGTGCATTATAAATAGAAAAAAGAAAATGTTAATCCACAATTCACAAATCCATTCGATTCTTGCCAGTCTGTTTTTATGGCCAAGAGCGCACTCAAGCGTATGGGTTTATAGGACCATTTAGAAGAGGTTTTCAAGTTTCATCTGGAATTTTAGAAACAAGACTGACCTTCACTACTATCGTGTAGACTCATCTGTTGAGTTCAATATTGCACAGTATCTCTCCTCCAGTTCATCTAAAAAGGTGAACTTTCAAAAGCGGATTCATCGAAATAGAAATTGAACTATTAGGCGTTTCATACGAAGCGTTACATTATGGTGGAATAACAGGACAGGTAAAGAATGCTAGTGAGAGTGACGCGGACGCCAGGCAACGGGGACGGTAACCGGTTACCGTCGATCGGATCAAAGGACCTTCGAGGTGAATAAAACGTAAACGTAAACATTGAAAATGATATTAGGAGTTAGAGAGAGAGTTTAATTCACCAAAACATAAATACATGGCCTGGACTTCTCCTCCGCCTCCTACTCTAGGCAAATTGGGCGATGAACATATAAAGAAATGGATTAGAAACGGAAGAAAAAACATTTTGAAAAATGAAATGGCATAATAAACACTGTGGCAGTAAAGGAGAGATCCCTTGAAGTTGGAGGATCTCATAAAACATAGAAGTCCGTATGTATCGGAAAAGAATTGGGGGTAGATTAGACGAAGGGTGCAGATCTCGGTCAAAAAACCTCTGGGGACCAGAGGTCTGTGAAAAATTGTGGACAAAGAAGGATTGAAGATCCATAAAAAACCAACAGAAGAAACCGGAGAGTGGTAGCAGGGGCTAGTGACTACAATCGAAGCTATATTAATGTTGGTTACATGTGACAAACATGTAGTACACACCAGGCCGTCATGCTTGCTCGTAGATATTGCTACACCAAGTGAGATTCGACGAGAAATTCAAGGGCCAAATCATAACGAAGCACATGTGGCAGGTGGTCTAGAATTTCAAATGGAGACTCTTTCTTCCACCAATGTGTGCAGTAGCAGCAGGACGGAATTTGCCGAAAGTGAANTATTAATGTTGGTTACATGTGACAAACATGTAGTACACACCAGGCCGTCATGCTTGCTCGTAGATATTGCTACACCAAGCGAGAATTCGACGACAATCCAAGGGCCAAATCATAACGAAGCACATGTGGCAGGTGGTCTAGAATTTCAAATGGAGACTCTTTCTTCCACCAATGTGTGCAGTAGCAGCAGGACGGAATTTGCCGAAAGTGAAACGTGTTGCTTCATAAATTGGGGAGAAGGAATTGAAACGTACTTCCTGATACTTGAATATGATAAAAATGAATACAGCAGAAAAGTAGCGTTCAAGTAAAGTCAAAAAGTCGCCAGATAACGGAAAACACTAAACTACCGATTCAACTAACTTTCTTCACGCAGTAACCACGGATTCACCTCCCTTCGAAATTAATTAGCCTCTTTGTGGGTAAAAATGCAGCCTCCTATTGTTGTAAACTTAACGAAATGATGCTCGAGACAGCCCCGCACTCACTTACTTATGTATTATCGTCGGAAGAGTGATCGAACTTCCCCCAAAAGCGCGAACATATGGACTTCTTTGTTGAAAATGGCACACATAAACAGTGTAAACAAAAGAGCTATGAGAATTCAAGAAAGTAGCCCTTTGCCTGGCAGAGCTACGGAATGGCAGACAGTTTTCTCGGATAAACTTTGCAAGCGCGTGAGACAAAATTTAAAGCGAAGAGATATCTAATAGCACGATTAGAGAGTGAACCGCTGAAGATCAATGCCAGTAAGTTCCCATTATATGAAGAAACAAAAATAAGCAGTATAATAGAAGTTGGTTGATGGCTGGTACCGAAGAAAAAAACCGTTTGGCGTCGCTGAAGTTTGCAATCGTATCCTCATTAAGTAACTATAAAACGAGGGACGTGTGTAGTAGGATGTTAAGCTTTCTCTGCACTTTGCAGTGGACCAACCAGATGCAGCAACAGAGCTGCACTACACCACAGCGATGAAGTTACGAGCTCAGAAGAAGCAGAGCCTCAATCATCGAGAAGATCTTAATTGAAAAATAGCTTTACATAACAAGTTGAATGATTCTTGAGGACTTTGGAGAAGCGGAAATCCTTTTGTACAATGAAAAAAATGAAAATAAAGGGCAATAGCGACCATAAAACAACAGCAATCCAATATGTGACGTAAAAGGTCCATTCGATGCAGTTTTGAAGGAACAATAATGACGATTAGTAATAGCAATTTCAACAGCAGCGGAAGCAACAACAATGAAACCTTCAAGCGGCACTTTGTTCCAGCATTCACGAAATTGCTCTCCAATTCTATTCTAAGAGTTTTTCCGCTTCACTTCCAAAGCGAATAAATTGTACAAAGAGCTTTCTGCAAGTATAAAAACGAAACTGCTCTTAAACAAATAATGGCCGGCCGCCGGTTGGTACTTGTCGCCACAGCCAGATGCATTTGAACAAATCTCGTTACTAGATTGGCAAAACTTAGGGAGGATTGAAGTGAACAGACTGACACGCTAACCATTCCGATAGTAAAAGAAGCAAGAAGAAATGTAAGGAAAGGGACGGACTGCGGCGCCATCACTTCATTGGCAAAAGTGAATTTTCGTTCCAGATGTGACGCACACACTGACTCATTTTCTGCAAAACCGTCGGCTGAAGTGGCCAAAATCAAAAATTGCGTGACGGTTTTCAAAGCTTCGAGCGCACCCCAGTCAAGCAACGTACTCAACATTCCCGGCAATTAGAATGCGCCGCAAAACGTCGGCATTTCAGAACATCGGTTGACCGTCACTCCTAAAGTACCCTTTGAAGATAGTGCTTTCATTCGGTCGAATTTCNTGAACAGACTGACACGCTAACCATTCCGATAGTAAAAGAAGCAAGAAGAAATGTAAGGAAAGGAACGGACTGCAGCGCCATCACTTCATTGGCAAAAGTGAATTTTCGTTCCAGATGTGACGCACACACTGACTCATTTTCTGCAAAACCGTCGCTGAAGTGGCCAAAATCAAAAATTGCGTGACGGTTTTCAAAGCTTCGAGCGCACCCCAGTCAAGCAACGTACTCAACATTCCCAGCAATTAGAATGCGCCGCAAAACGTCGGCATTACAGAACATCGGTTGACCGTCACTCCTAAAGTACCCTTTGAAGATAGTGCTTTCATTCGGTCGAATTTCATCGCAGATTCTGAGTTCAAAACATGCAACACAGCCCAACACACCAGGAATGAGGACTCGTCAAAACAGAGGGTTCCTTCCTGAATCCTGTTTTGCTTTAACTGCTTCGGTCGATGGCGAGCCTGGGCAACAACCACGTGAAACTCCAGGTAAGGAAAATGTATGCCCATAGCGAATCTGATGACCCCTTCTTGACACATATAATCACTGGCTTAGAAACATATAAACAACATAAAAATATATAAATAACATAACATAAAAATATATGAACTTCAAGGTAGTTCACCGCTGATAAATTTCTACTCTAGTAGAAACCAGGTGTTCAACTTGGACCCCTATACAAGTCGAGCCTTCCAGAAGGATGGCCAGGGCTTTAGACCAGATTCGATCAAATAACCAGGTGTGCGCAATGGAATCCACCAGTCACTGCCCATTCACACAACTCTTAACGAATCTAACAATATGAGCGATTTACTTTCTTAACAGTCGACATTTGGGACCAGATATGAAAGTGAAATCTAGGAAAAATAGGAATTTTGAGGCATACAACACTACCACGCCTCAGGAAACACTCAAAGGAATGCGAATGAGAAGGTGTGCTCATCAAACCATGATTAGAAAAGAATTCGCAGAGAATTTACGCAACAGCTGGCGTGGCGATTGTTTCCTTTTACGGAACGCCGATTGGACTTTTTCGAAAGAACGAACCTATACATTCTTTTTAAGGACGCCACCATTCTTTTGATGGGAGAAAGACTTATGCGTGCGATTCGTGTTGTGAAAAAGGCGTGTTGACACGATTCAGCTAGGTTGCGAGAGCTGTTCCCTCAGCTCAGACACCAAATGCCCACTGTAATCCATTTGTAAAATGGCAGTTTTTTACCAGTTTAGCCATCCCCATGTGTTCCCGCTTTGCGCCCATAACCGAGTTTACAGCATAATGTAATGGAGAAACGCAAGGAACGTGTTAAGATCCAATGCTCAAAGCCCTTTATATCTACGAACTTGACGAGCAATGAAGGATCACAAACAGGAGGATGATTGAATATGA